GGATGTGCAGAATGCCCGGGACACGGCTTCCCATTTTACCAAAGGCTGCTTACTATTCCGTACGGCGGCGGCAGAGATGATAGCGTGCAAAGGCCTCTGTGCTGGGTGATGGCGTCACTTTCTTACCGACAATCTCGAAATTAGTTGACAACAAACAAGCCAACGTTCCTTCCAAGTCCAGGATGACATAGTTTATACCTGCATTTGTTGAGTGACAATACAAGGCCTGAAAAACTTGATTTTCTGAAGGTCACGTGGCCATAGTTTACATGGGAGTAAGTTAGAATTGCAGTCAACCTGTGATTGGATGCCGGGGGGAGAGAGAGAGAGACGCTGCGGTTGGAGACAGGAATGAATGAACTCTAGCTCCCAAGAGTCCCAACTTATTTAAGATGGTGACATTGTGATGCGATGGAGAAGATGATGACTGACTTCCTGGAGACCAGAAGAGAGCGAGTTCTTTCCCGGGGTCTTTAAAAATAAAATATGTAGTCATTTGCTTGGAATAGTTTGAATGTTTTAGAGCCAGGGCTTCTAGAACTTGAGGCTTTTTAAATCTTTTTAGGATGACATAATTTGCCTGTGGTTCTCCCTACATTATTGATTTTTCTGTTTGTTTTTATCTTCTACATTTTTAGATTTTAAACAAACCCCTCCGTAGATTAAAGATGATTGAAAAGGATTCTATAAAAGAGGAGGTGCCCTTTTTTTAATCACCTTCAGCATTTGGGATACCAGCCATGGATGCATTTGGTTCTCCGGCATTTAGCTTTGCTTTTTTTTGTTTTTTTTTTTTAACTGCCTACTTCTCTAGACTGGGACTAGGCAGAACTTTCTTGATTCTCAGGATGGTTGACCTCCTCTCCCCCCAGCCACAGACCCTCACTTAAAGCAGAAGTCACCCCCTCCTGCCTTCTCCTTCCTCTGTCCTGACGTGTCTGGCTGGTGGCCAGTCCCAGAAACCGCTGCCTTTCAGCGGCCCGTTAGTGCAGTTATAGCTGATGGTTTCTTAGACCTGAACATTTAAGAACATGCACAGTGGCGAGGGGTTATTTTAGATATTTGGGGGGGATACTGATGTGCCAAAGACAAGATTCTTGCAATCAAGCAATTAACCCTGGAGGTAGAGAGGAGGAGGAGGGAAGAGCTCCAGATGCAGAGGGGCGTGAGGGCGCAGAGCCCAGCCATAAATGTCTCATACCTAAGGAGAATTTGTGTGACAAAAACTTCAGGAGAACTGTAGCCCACATTGAAGGCTCTGCTAGGAATGCAGGGGCTCCAGGGAGATGCCAGGTTCTAAATACTCTCGCCTCCCGAGCCCTCCAGTTTGGTCAGGACCTGATCTTCTGGGCTAGCTCCTTCATCCTGCATCCATCATCCATCCATCCATCCATCCAACCATCCGTCCATCCATCCATCCATCCAACCATCCGTCCGTCCATCCATCCATCCATCCATCCATCCATCCATCCATCCAACCATCCATCCATCCATCCAACCATCCGTCCATCCAACCATCCGTCCATCCATCCATCCATCCATCCAACCATCCATCCATCCATCCATCCATCCAACCATCCATCCGTCCATCCATCCATCCATCCATCCATCCAACCATCCATCCATCCATCCAACCATCCGTCCATCCATCCATCCATCCAACCATCCGTCCGTCCATCCAACCATCCATCCATCCAACCATCCATCCATCCATCCAACCATCCGTCCATCCATCCATCCATCCAACCATCCGTCCGTCCATCCATCCATCCATCCATCCATCCATCCATCCAACCATCCATCCATCCATCCAACCATCCGTCCATCCAACCATCCGTCCATCCATCCATCCATCCATCCAACCATCCATCCATCCATCCATCCATCCATCCATCCAACCATCCATCCATCCATCCATCCACCCATCCATGCATCCATCCATCCACCTTTTGTCCATCCGTTCATCCATTATCCATCCCTCCCTCCCTCCCTCCCTCCTTTACCATCCCTATAATCATTCCTGCCACTGACACCCAGAGCATGGGTGATGCACCAGATGGCGACTTGGTATTTTGGGGGCATCTGGTGAACCAGCCCTCAAGACCACTTGGGAATAGTCTGGAGAGTTCCCCTGTCTGAGCCCAACTCCAGCAGTGCCCAGTGCAGAGTCATCAGGACCTCAGACAAGAGCCCACGTGGCCCCGTCCGCCCTGTGGCCGCTCCCCTACAAATGGACTCCCTGTGCAGCTGCGCTGGGCCTTCCACCACGGGGCAGCAGTGCAGGCGGGCGCTGCAGCCAGGTGCTGGGTGTAGTCTGCCATCCCTCCCGTAGTCCTCTGCGACTGCGCACAGATTGCCGCACGCATGCTTCTCATGTGGTTTCCCCGCTTAGCTCCCTACTTTGAGATTGATTAGCCCCAACTCCTGAATCACCGCAGTGACGGACGTCCTGTCCTGAAAGTTGGCCTCTGCTCGGGATTCGTTTTGCCCGGTTAGATAATGGATTCATCTTGAGGTGCCCGCGGAGCACTGCTGTGGTTTTAATCCTGACAAGCGTGAGTGATGGACGTGACTGATGTGCGTCCTGGGTGATTCCGGGGCGGGCCGCGTCCTCGATGCCTTGCACCTGAGCGGCACCACACCTCTGCTGCCTGCACCGCTTGGGTTTGCATTTGCACTTCCCTTACATTTTCCTCCTGGCCGTTGCATCCGTGCCACGTGTTTCGGGCCCTGGCTCTTTAAAAAACCTGTAGTGAATCTAAATGATAGAATCGTGTCCCACTGCGCTTTCTCAGTTGACAGTTCATTAAAAATTTTGTGTTCAGCCTTTATATTATTTCAGCGTGGCATATTTTTATAAAAAGTCATTTTGAGAAATCTCTTTATTTAACCAGCTGAAATTGTTACGGGGCGTAATTAGAAGCAGCATATTGCAACTGTTTGGGTGCTATCTTGAGGCCAAATAATTATCCTGTAATAAGGATGCCTAGTCGAGTGCACTTGATGTTCGGGTCTTAGAGGGCTGGATGGAGGGTCTTCCTTAATGCTCGTCACCCTGGGGTGCTCTAGTGAGCAGCTGAGTTCCAAAGCGGGAGGTGGTATTTAGGAACAAGAAAAGTTAGTTGGTGGCCACAGCCCAGAGCTCTTGTGTCGGTCGGGACCCGCCATCACAGTCACAGGAAGCCTTCCCGGCTCATCGCCACCGGGGCCTGCTCTGCTTTGGATGGCTAGTTCAGACCCTCTCTCCCCTGCCTTCTGAGCACAGTGCCCAGGGTCAGACGGGCAAGAGAGGCCCTCTCCACCTTGACCACCCTCCTGTACATCTGCAGGCTGAACGGGATGGGGCCGCGTGACATCCGCCTACCCGGAGGGCCGGCGAGCCTCCCAGGTGTGCTATGTAGACCTGGCACTTTCCAGAGCGAGTAATTTTGCCCTGGTTTTTGCCAGGAAGCCCTAGAGCCCCTGTCTTCAAGTTTTTTCAATAAATTTCAAAATTGAGTAATAAGAGCTATTTTACAAATTTCCCTGGGCATCCTATTGTCACCAAAATGAGCGACTTTACGGCTGATGGGTGCTGCTGCCTCTGGGCTCCTGGTTAGTGGACCAGGCCAGGATGCCCACACCCCTCATTAAAAAGTCACTGAAAACATTAATGCCTCTTTGCTGGTTCTATTTAGCAGCCCCCGGGGAGAACGCAAATATCTTTGGCTATAATTTTCCTTAGCCACAGGAGCAAGGCAGCGCAGGCCGTCAGTCACGCCTGCTTTGGTCCTAGGTCCAACTGACCGGTTTCCTACTGAAACCTTGTCTGCTCACCCCCTTTCTTAGCGCCATCTGCAGGGTGAGTGTGAGGCCGATGCCACCAACGGTGGGTGTGGGTGGCAGGTGGCAGCCGGAGGAGGTGACAGAGGCCTCCTCAGACCCCAGGGGGAGTGGCCCTGTCTCCCTCCTCCCAAGCTCACTGGGTGTTAGTGGCTCTTGGAGAAGGCCCAGGGTGGGAGCGCGTCCAGGCATGCAGAGCCAACGCGATAATGTTGGCGGAGATTGCCAGTTCCTAGTTAGTAACCTGGATTTCTCTTAGGCTCTTTGACTGCTTCCTGCTGTCTAAACAGAGAAGGATAATTAAGTTTATTATCCGTGGCCTGATCCGAATTCCTCCCGCACCCTGCCGTTGGGTACCGGGCAAAGGGGCATTGGAAAAGCAGTATCTGGACTTAGTTTTAGTATTGTAAATACTTTCAAGGGTAATGTAACAAATCTACCAAGTGAACAAGCTTGTGAGAGGCTTGGTTCTCTGGAGTCATGTATAAGATGAGCCAAATTACACATTTTACTGTAGAAAGTAATCAAAACATAGGATATTTGGTTTTGGGTGCTCAGAATTGGACATTGTCTATGAATCTATGGGTTAAAAAGTCCTGCTAAAAGTGTTGTCAAGTCACTATCATGTCTGCTAAAGCTGTGTTATTTTCTTTACACAAGTAAATGGTGACCCAGGTGAGCATTTGGAGCTCAGAACAAAGGACACAGAAGCCAGCCCTCCTTCCAGCACAGTGGCAGCGCCCTAGACTCGTTCAAGTCCTAGACTCATCCAAGTCCAGTACTGCATTTTCAAACGCTTAGCTTTCAAAAGTTCTCCTGAGCAAAGACCAAATTAATAATAAAACGGGAAGACATCGTGACTTGTGAAAGGGATTTAATTTGCACCTTTTCTATTTTTTTTTTAAATTAGATATTTTAGGGATACTTTAATGTTACTTTCAGATGCTGTTATTTTGGTCTATTTCTTTTATTCTGCATGTGTTAATTTCCTTGATTAATTTGGCCAACATCTGCATATAATCCTCTGGGCTTTTCGTTGGTAAAACCTCACACCTTTTCACAGGCCTTCAAGAGTTCACTTCCCAGACAGTCTCAGATTGTATCTCATTGAAATGCCAGCCCTACAAAAGTTCCAGAGCCTAAGTGTGTAATTATGTAATTTTCTTTTGATCTTTCAGAGTCTTCCTGCGAGCGATTAATCAGTATGCAGATATGCTCAACAAAAAATTTCTGGATCAAGCCAACTTTGAGCTACAGGTAAGAGAAGGGAGAGATGTTTTCTTTGTTGGGAAATCATGTTAAAACAAATTTCTGGTCTGAGCCAATATCTTCTACTTCTAATCCTCCAACTTAATTAGTCTCCCATGGAAGGTGTGGAAATGGAATTTACAATATGTACTATTGGAACACGGGACGGAAAATTATGCCTTCTGGGTATTTGCTCAATTTAGCAAGAAAGGAGATGGAGCTGCTTCAGAGAGGAAGTATTGAATCGGAGAGACAAGTGGGGCTCCGAGCAGGGAGGCTCAGTTAGTGTGACTGCCAGGAGGCAGGGCCAGCAGATGGGGCACAGAGCTTAGCCTGCACAGCAGGGTGACCCCTGGCAGGTTTCCTCCGGCTCCGGCTTGGTGCTACCAGAGCGGCCTTTACCTAGCGAATGACCCCTAGTCTTGTGGTCACCCAGCCGGTCCCTGTCAGCCCTAACCCTCGGGGCTTGCACTGCCTGTGTGTGGTGAGGGTCGATTTGCCTGGTCTAGTTTCGGTGACTCTCAGTTCCGAATGCGGTCCTGCTAATAATGATTTTTTTCACTATTATTGCATCGTTTACTTTAATAAAGTCTGCAAATGTAAATAGCAAAGATGCAAGGAGCCGGTTTCTTAGGCTGGTTTGGTCTCTGAGAAGGCACCTGGAGGATTTGTGTATACCCCGTGGGTGGGTGGTCCAGCCCCCAATGTGTTACCAGGTAACAAAAATTAGACACCCCACCTACATCCCCCATTTCCTTGCCTTTGAAAAATTCAGCACTAGTGGAATCCTAAATTAGGATTAAGTTCTAGTAATCTAGGATCAAGATCCCAGTTACTAGATTAAGTTCTTAGGTGCCTCTGTCCTTATTTCTTTTCTAACTTCGTAATTTTACATTTTTATTTTAGCAGCATTATAGAATGCAAGCATATAATTAATCAAGCACTATGTGGGCTAGGAATGTGACTTATTTTTCACAGTTTTTAATCTTTTATTATCTCTGCCTGGTGCCTATTGCCTACGTGCCAAAACAAATATATTCGCCCTGTAAAGCAGGCGCTGTCTCAGCACACGTACGCTCTCAGAGACCCTGAGCCTCCGTGTTCCTTACAGAGTAATTTGGAACTAAAATGTGTATCTTCCAACACTGAGCATTTATCTGGACCTATGCGTGCTTTCTTTTACTTTTAACATGACTTGACTTAGACACCTGGTGGTTCCTATTGCACAGTGCAGTGGAGCCAGCCCCTCCGCCCTGTGAACAGCAGGCTCTCCAGGCTTCTCCTGTTCTCAGCACAAATACCTCAAGCACTGAGGCACCAGGCACCTCAGAGCTGCGTGGCCGTGGAGTCATCTCCTGAAGCATCATTACCAGGCTGGGTGCTAAGAACTATTAAGTTTAATGGACACTGAGAAAGTACCCCCTAAAATGCTTTGGTTATTTGCAGTCCCCACAGCTTTCTTTGACAGCAGCTGTTTCCTACTGTGTTCTCCACTCCCAATTTCTTTAGTATTGTTGACTCTTATTTTTATGGGAATTTCTCCAATGGAAGTTCCCAGTAAGTATGAGATACTTACTGGCAGTGGGTTTGTATTATGAACTATTGAATTATTGCCAGCGCTCATTTTCCCTTGGACTATTTGATGTTTTTGTAAGTTGAGAGTCAGATAGCTAAGTCATGGGTTTAGATTTATGTAGAAACACTCAATTTTTCTGTAGTTAAATATGTCATTTCATTTATGGCTCTTTGGTTTTATGTTTTGTTTGGTAAGACGCTCTTGGGTCTTTTTTTTTTTGTAACTAGTATCTGCTAATACCTTTAGTTTCATTTTTTTAACTTTTGTAATTACCATTTCTCTAGTGAAAGTGAGGGTATAAGAAACTAACTTTACTTTTCCTCCCATCATTTCATGAATGGGGACATGGTATGAAATGCCACCTTAAAAACAGAGTTGCAAATGCAAGTGTGTAGCAACTCTGTGCCGCTGTTGTCAGCAGGGTTTTATACCCAGCTGTAAATCCAGGACTCCCCTTCCTGAGCTGTGGCAGCATTAGCTTGATTACTCTTGTGTGGCTCCTCTTCAACGTCTTTCAGTGATGAACTTGATGTAGTATATGCACATGTCGATATTTAATGATGAAAAGTTTTACTTTTAATGCAGCTTGTATTTTAATTAGGATTCTTTTTTTAAAAGATTTATTTTTATTTATTTATACAAGAACTGGGGTACAGGCCAGAGGTGCGGGAGGGTGAGAAGATTCACCAGAGACAGAGCGGGAGCAGAATAAGCAGACGGACCGAAAACACTGCTGAGGAGAGCAGCGGGTGAGACAGGAGAGGTCTGCCACGCCATGTGGATATGTTCACAGGACAGCCAGAATTGAACCCGCGCTGCAGAGGCTGTGGATAGCTACACAGCACTGTGCTCAACCCACTGCGCCATCGGGGAGGCCCTTAATTGGGATTCTATTGAATGGATGAATAAAATGTAGGGGGAATGTTACAGCATTTGGGGCAACTCCCTGGCAGTGTGTATTTTTTCCCATTATATACATTGATAGGTAGATTTTTTTGCATGTGCCTTTTTTTTTTAAAGATTATTTATATAAGAACTGGGGTACAGACCACATGTGCAGGAGGGTGAGAGGATTCACCAGAGACAGAGTGGGGAACAGAACAGGCAGACTGACTGAAATACACTGCTGAGGGGAGCAGCGGGCAAGACAGGAGAGGTCTGCTGCGCCATGTGGGTTGCTCTGCAGCCGGCATAGATGAAACTGGCACTGCAGAGACTGAAGACAGCTCCACAGCGCTGTGCTCAACTGCTTGAGCCACCAGGGCGCACTGCATGTGCCTTTCATTGGGTCTTCTTGCCTCTGCTGCTGGGTAGACTGCTGTGTGCTTGTGTGGCTCTGTGAGTGTGGGCTCCTTCCGGGCATAGGGTCACTGCTGCTTTGGCCCATTAGCCTCCAGCCTAGGTAAATAGCAGAGCTGGGATCTGGGCACCTGGACTTGCTTTGGCAGCCCCACTTAGCTGGGAACCCCACCCTGCACCCCAGTGGCTGGTTAGCCATTTGTACATGGTGAGTGTGTGTCTTAAGTGTCTCAGGTGCGTGTTCCGGGCAGACGAGGGAAACCTCAGCGTGTCCTGAGACACAGTGGACCATTCAGCAGGCTCACTTTTTCCGCCTTTTGGTTTTCAGTTGTGGAACAACTACTTCCACCTGGCTGTGGCTTTCCTCACGCAGGAGTCCTTGCAACTGGAGAATTTTTCAAGCGCTAAGAGAGCCAAAATCCTCAACAAGTAAGTGTGCGTCCTGCCCCAGCCCCACAGGTGCCTCCCCCAACCGGTCCGCGTCACTGTGTGTTCTCCCAGAGCCCGCTCGGTACAAATTGAGATCTAATTACAGCGTGATGAGAGGGCGGCTTCCAATCAGGAATCCGGTATTGCCTTTCCCAACCTGTGAATCAAGATCAAAAATTGCAGGATGGGTTGTGGTAGATTTGAAGTCAGTGTAATTCCAGACAATTAGCCCCACGCAGGATGCGCGTCTCGGGAGGTAATTGTTCCGGCTGCGTGTTCTGCTGTCAGTGCTGTGTGGCTCACTATCCACCAGCCTTCCTCGCTGCCTCGCTCCTGGATGGCTGATCGGCTCATGGTGGTTCGAGTCCTGGTACCTGCTTCCCTCCTCTGTCCCCTCCGCGGTCACCCACAGCTCTGAAGGGCCCTGGGCCTCCTCGCCAGCCTCTCGAATGCCTGCACAGCCCGAGCTCCCCACCTGGCCCCTTCACGTCTCATGGGAGAGCTGCTCCGAATAGGGAAACCCTCTTGCTTGAGCAGCTTTCTGACCTTGGGGCCGCTGAGGGTCCTGACCCTCCCCTTTCTGCCTTGGGGTCTCTGCCCCCTGGGGCTCTGGATGCCGCTTTCCTAAGCCCTGCTGAGGCCAGCCCTCTGCAGGCTCCCTTGTGCTCCCAGCTAAGGGTGCCGGCTCTGCCGACCCCGGCCCTTCCCCGAGGTCTGAGCTGCAGGGAGTCTCCTTAGGCCATGGCGCTCTACCCGCTCCTGCCCTGGCAGGGGTGCAGGGGAGCTCATGACCCCTGGGGAGAAGGCCAGGCTCCCGACTGCCTCTGCTGCCTCCTGTGTCGGGATCTGAGCACGTGCTGGGGCGTGGTGTGTCTTGGGATTCTTCCCTTCATGCTGTGTTCCCCTTAGGGGTAACTGAGGAGCATGCCTGCTCCCCTTAGGGGTAACTTACCCACCTGCAAGGCGAACCTCCCTGACCTTGGGACATGGGAGTTAATCTGCCCTGGGTTCCAGCGAGGTTCGCTGCTGCCAGGGCTGCCTGTCCTCAGGTCATCCGCTCTGGGTCCCGCCGCGGTGCTGCTGGTGCCTTTCGTCACTGGGAGAAACTGCGGGACAAGCCTCACTTAGTGGCACCCAGATCCCCTTGGACAACTTCCCTCTTCATATGCCATTCAGTATTCACAAGTGCTCGTCTCACACCCACAAACTCAGGGTTATTAGCTCTGCTGCTGCTGAGTTTCGACTGTCCGTGGGCGGGCATCTCCTTGCTGTGACATGGCTGAGGGGTGCAGTCCCCAGCAAAGGGCCCTGCTCTCACTTACCCATGCCAGTGCTCACCTGGTCGCTGGGCGCTGGAAGGAGATGTGCAGGAAGGGGCCTTCGCTCTAGTCCAGGTTCTCCATCTGCACTCTGGGCCTTGGAGCTGGCACAACTGGAGCCACGGACCCCAGGTCGGGGTTCTCCATGAGCGGTCCACTCCCCTGATTGAGATGATCACCCCATCTCGAGTTCTGTCTGCATCAGTGGCTGACGGTGTCTGGGGCTCAGGAGACATGTGTAACCAGAAGGCAGTGGCTGGGGCTTGTCGATTTACTAGCCAGGATCTTTCCCTTTCAAGCCCCAACCAGAAGCGTAAGCAGCGCCTCCATGCCCGTATCAGCTGTCAGGGGGATCCACGCGCAGCTCGTGATGCAGCTGCTGACTGTAATGCTGTAGGGTAATTCTGCAAATTATTATTTTTAATATAATCAGCTTTTCCTTAGGCAATAAAGGTAAAAGTTAAATTGCTCACAAACTAATAAATGTTTATCTTCTGAAGCATCAGATTCTGTTTACTCATGAAACACACACCTCCTCTGCTGACCCACTGGGAGGAAAATTAGCATCTCTTTTCCCTGATAAACAAAAACCGGGGCATATCCATTGATATCTTTCGATGTAAGCTCTTCCTTCCATTGAAAATGCAAAAATCAAGTGGGAGGTGTTTGGAAGAGGCCTGCCTGTTCTGATTGTAACTCCAGGGCTTAATTTTAACTTGTGAAGCTGCTGGTGGTGAGCAGGATTGTGGGGTGCCACTAGGTGTCCACAATCCTGACCGCTAACAGCATGCATGGGAAACAAACTCCCCCTTAGGTCAAGCGGCCAGGTTCTCTCTCTTGCCACTAGAGATGGAAGAAAGGAAATCCATTCATTACTCACCATGGGCTCCTCTTGTCCCCCCGGGGATGGATGCTACATAATTGGTGGTGATGGGAAGCTGAGATTCCCCCAGCTGGAGTCCGTTTCAGTTCCCTGTGGTAGCAAAAGATTAGTTGAAGTTTTGAGTCTCTTATTTGTCTCTGTGATAGGAGACTTTAATTACACTTAAAAATAACCTAAGTCTGATTTTCAGATTTTCTGTCCAGTGATAGTGGTTTTCCCTTCCCTGGTTTTCAGGTATGGAGATATGAGAAGACAGATTGGCTTTGAAATCAGAGACATGTGGTACAACCTCGGTGAGTAATCAGGGTTTCAGGGCACTATAGTACATGGGTGGTGAGGACAGTGGCTCTGTTTGCCAGTGGTGGGGCATCGTAAAAATCTGAGTTGTTTCTCTTCCCAAGAAAGCAGTTACTACCTTTGTGGTAATTTTTTTCCATCAATAAAAGCTAGGAGCCCGAATTCAAGGGAAGAAAATCTGATTAGTTAGACAAAGAGAAACATCAACGGAGTGCCTTCTATGCCAGGTGAACACAGCTCTGCCATACAACTCTGTCCCTCCCAGGTGTCACTAACCTTCCCTCCATTTCACATGCTCAAATCATGTAGCTCATCCTACTAGTGCATATGTCATCACTTCATGCATTCAGTTTCTCACAGTCTACCTTCTGAGGCTTATTTGTCTACTCAAAACTGGATCCTCTATTTAGTACATTGCCACCAGCTTGTGGTAGTTTCACATGCTTGTACAAGCAAATCATGTGTGTTGTTTAGGTGTGGTTAAGTGTATACGTTAAGAATAATGTGTGTTTAACATAAGAAATCAATGTAGGGCCTCCCCGGTGGCGCAGCGGTTGAGTGCTGGGTTGCAAAGCTGCCCGCAGCCTCTACAGCACCGGTTCAATCCCCGGCTGCTCCCTGGCCACCGGAGGAGGGTCCCGCATGGCGCACAGACCTCTCCTGCCGCCCGCTGCTCCCCCCAGCAGTGTACTTCGGTCCTTCTGCCTGCTCTGCTCCCCGCTCTGGCTCTGGTGAATTCTCTCACCCTCCCGCGCTTCTGACTGTACCCAGTGCTTGTATAAATAAATAAATAAATCTTTTTTTAAAAAAGAAAGAAAGAAAAGACTGTCTTCTACTGAATCATTTAAAAAAAAAAGAAATCAATGTAGGCATTTATCACTATGAACTTCCCTCTTCATACTGCTTTTGCTGTCTCTCTCAGGTTTTGGTATGTTGTGTCTCCAATATCATTTGTCTGAAAATATTTTCTGATTTCCCATTTGATTCTTTTTCAACTCATTGATTGTTCAGGAGTTGTTTTTAAATTTCCACATATTTGTGGATTTTTTTTTTAAATTTCTGTTGCCATTGTCTAGTTTCATTCTATTGTGATAGGAATAGCTGCTTGATAAGATTTTGGTCTTCTTAAATTTGATAAGACTTGTTTCGTGACCTAACACATGATCTATCCTGAAGAATGTTCTATGTGCACTTGAGAAAAATTTCTCTTCTGCTTTTACATAGATTATTAAGTAAAATGTTCTGCAGATGTCTTTTAGGTGTTTTAGGGTGCCTTTACTGGTAAAGAAAGATTGTGAATAAATAACTTTGCACCTCAATGAACAATAAAATTAGAACAAACCTAGCCTAAATGTGTCATAAGGGAGGAAATAATAAAGACAAGAACATTCATTGTTTAAATGAAATAGCTAATAGAAAATACAATAAAACTAAGAGTTGATTTTTTGAAAAGATAGACTTAATTGACAACTCTTTAGCTATATTAAGAAAAAGTGAGAGAAGACAAAAAATGAGTCTGAAATGAAAGAAGAAATATTATCACTGAAGCCACGGAAATAATAGGGATCAAAAGAGACAACTATGGATAATAACATTGCAATAAATTGGATAACTCAGGGAATCAAAATGTATGGATTCCCAGAAACTTACCAAGACTGAATAATGAAGAAATATAAAATCTGAACAATGCTTGGATGAGCAATCAAAAAATTTTTCAACAAATAAAAGCCCAGGACCAAATGGCTTTACTAGTGAGTTCTACCCAAACTCTTCTGAAATATTAAAGAGGAACACTTATTTTATGAAGTTAGCATTACCCTGATTTCAACGACAGACAAAAACACTACCAAAAAAACCCGAAAACCATAGGATACAGCCCCTTATAAAACATAAACTTTAAAATCCTCAAGAAAAAACATGAAAACTGAATTCAACAGCCCATTAAAAGGAACATACATTAAGGTCAAGTGGGATTTATCCCTGGGCAGCAAGGATGGTTGAACATATGAAAATCAATTCATGTACATTAACAAAATGAGAGATAAAGCTCATAAGATTATCTCAATAGATACAGAAGAGGTATATGACAAAAGAGCACTCTTTCATGATAAAAATGCTCAAAAACCCAGATACACAAAGACTATATGTACCTTAGTAAAATGAAGGACATATGTGATGGGCCCACCACCAGTATCATATTCAGTGGTAAAAACTGAAAACTTTTGGGCCTCCCCAGTGGCGCAGCAGTTGAGCACTGGGTTGCAAAGCTGCCCGCAGCCTCTGCGGCGCCAGTTCGATCCCCCGCTGCTCCCCGGCCACCGGAGGAGGGTCCCCCATGGCGCGCAGACCTCTCCTGCCGCCCGCTGCTCCCCTCAGCAGTGTACTTCGGTCCTTCTGCCTGCTCTGCTCCCCGCTCTGGCTCTGGTGAATTCTCTCACCCTCCCGCGCTTCTGACTGTGCCCAGTGCTTGTATAAATAAATAAATAAATCTTTAAAAAAAAAAAAAAAAAAACTGAAAACTTTTGCTGTGAGATCAGGAACAGGACGAGAATGCTTGCTCTCACCACTCCTGTTCAACATAGCACCGGAAGTCTGTACCAGAGCAATTAGCTGATAAATGGATTCAGATCAAAAAAGTAGTAAAATGGCCTGTTAAAATGGACTGCATGATGTTATAAGTAGAAAATCCTGAAGACCCCAGCAGAAAACTTGTATAACTAAGAAGCAAATTCAGAAAAGTTGTAGGCAGGCAGCCACAGGACAGGGGCGGAAGGGACCTGCAAGTCCGGGACACCAGGAGAACAGCCAAAGCAAAGTCAAGGTAAAGGCGGCCATTGTCAGCCTCCCCATGGGCCTCTCACCCACATCTTTCCCATGTGTCTCTTCCATGTCCCCCAAGTCCCGGGGGCAAGCCCAAGGCTGAGAAGGAGGCACAGCTTTTTCTTCACGTGTCTCAGCTCCACCTGTCTCCTCCGCTTCTGCTTCCCAGTCTCCCACGTGTCTCCTGGCTGCTCTATACCGCCTTCCTTGGGTGCGGCCAGGAACATGGAGCTTCCCTGTTTTATGGAGATCACACCGTTACAGGAGCAGGGAAGAGGGGCGTCTCTGCGAGGCCCCCTCCACAGCCTCCTGGAGGCTCACCCCCTCCTAGGCCCTCCCTTGCTGTAAGGTCGCCCTTGTCCCTCCACGTGGTGTCTGTCTCTATGCTCCAAGCAGACCGCATCAAGCCTGGGGGACTTTTGACTTGCAACCTAAAGGATGCACTTAAGAGAGCAAATGTCCCGTTTTATCCTGTCAGCTGCTGCTTTGCATGGGGTGATGAACACAGGAGACCTGCGTTTTGGCAGCATTTCAGCCGGGGGCCCGGGCTCTGGCGAGAGACTGCTGCCAACAGGTCAGCTGTGAGCCACGACCCACCATGGTCACCAGGAGGGCATTTGGTAGCAGCGACAAATAATCATTGGCCAATGTGACTGGGCTCCTTGTCCATAAAATAATAGCATTTTTGAAATAAATTAAAAAACAAATGAGATTTTTGAAAATTAAAAGTAATACTAGTAGGGGTTGTCCCCTTGGGGTCACCCCAGCAGCCTGGCCCTCCCACCAAGACTCTCGGGTGCTGGGGGACCGGCTGCCTATGTCACAGCAGAGGCCACACGCTCCACACTCACGACAGCTTGTCTCGATTTCCCAAAATGCACACAATCTATTTTTTACCGGCTCTCTTTTTTTAATGGGCTCAGATTTGGGGAGATATTGGCAGGCTGATCTAGCCAGGTCTGCCAAGAAAACAAAAATAGAAGTCAGATATATTTTTCATCTTACAGTGGGGCGCCTATCACTTCAGCAGGGCCTGCTCCCCAGGCACCCCCGACACCCCTTCTTCCTTGAGCGTCTCAGTTAGGACGTGGGTGCCTGGAAGGGGCTTGGAGATCGCACCTCCCTGCTGCGCTTCAGTGCCAGAAAAGGGTCTGTTTTGCTGGATCTGATGTGCCTGCACACTTGGCGCTGCCCCTGGGGACAGAGCGGCAGGCTTCTCTTCCTCCAAACCTGTCATATTTTGAGTGTGAAAGGGGAAATCGAAAGCAGGCTTCCCTTCAAAAGAAAGGGGCAAATGGGCTTATTTACCCAGCTCTTCTGTGCTTACCAAAGCCCGCTCCCGAGAGCCGGGGGCTGGCGCACCTGGCTGCTTTCATCTGCCACCTTGATTTATACTTTATGACGGAGCTGACACCGTATCCAGCCTGACTGGGATAAAGGCGCCTCAAGCAGGGGCTTTATCGGGTGGGTTGGGTCCAGATACTTTTCCTATGGGGATTCCCTTCCTGGCTTTTGGGAGGGGGCTGCACAAGTGGTATCTTTTTTCCTTAAAATGCATGTGCAGTGAGGTCTCGTGTGTTTCACTGGGGCTGGAGCAGAATGTTTTGCTCTGCCTGGCCCAGGGTATACAAGATTTTCCTGGCATGAGACTAGGTCTAATGTCAAGATTTCAAGCCTCTGTGGTTGTAAAGACTCATCCACACGCCCAGGGGTGCTGGTGCTGGGGCCTGGCTTCCCTGAGAAAGCCTGGACTCAGCCCTGGGGGTGCAGCTCCTGCTTTGTAACTACAAAAAGTACTTTTTGCCGGTGGGTTTTAAAAGCTGGGACGTGGAACTGGGAGACTGGAAGGGTAAGCAGAGCTGAGTGTCCCTGTTGCGATTTTATCATGAGCATGTCCTCCCTCCATCTCAAAAGAGGGGCCATGTCCATCCTGCATTCTCAGAGACGACAGGGCAGGAGTCAACTTGCCCTTCATTAATTCCAAACTGAGCTCATCAGTATATTTGCCAAGACCCTCTCCAGAGCAAACCCATAATGCAAATGTCAAAAAAAGGAAATAGGAAGTCCCCAGCCCCCCTGAGGACCACTGGCCTGGGGCGACCTCCATGGAAGAGGTTAGTGTCGGCCCAGCCCCGCAGTTCCTGCATTAAAGGGAGGGCTGGTAATGCAATTAGGAGACCCTCATTTCCGGGGCTCCTTCCCCGATTCCGCATGACAGCCACTTGTTACTGCCTGCTCTGTCCCCGCCCCCCGCCCGGCCTGGAGCCTAGAGCTGTGCATGACAGGCAGGGCACGCGGTGACACTCAAACTGCGCTTGATGAACAGCTCCCTGTCACTCTCTTCAGTTTTCCGAAGCAGCGACTCTGACTTTTTTTAGGCTTAATACAAGAAAAGTGCTGCCTGAGAGACAGACTCTAATAGCATGTTTAAGAGAATGCTTTGCACAGTTGCATGCCTTTCAGAAACCTGGAGCATTTGGGAAAGTGATGAGTACGCTTGATGAGAGACGTAATCAAAATGTCATCATTTACTCAAAGAAGAACCTAAGACTTCGGTGCTGCCCGATGCTTTGCTGAAGGTTCTGTTGTACGTGTCCACCCAATACGATTTTAGAAGAATATTCACTTAGACGAACAACAAGGCTTACGTGTTTTGTTAATTGCAATTATTTATCATCGCCAAATTTGTTTCATGGTTTTCTTTACAGAAGTCTGTATTCGTGGAGTTAGAAAGCAAACCAGATCCTCCAGAGTATCCATTCTTGTTCCTGATTTTGTAAAATTATTAGTAGCATTGAACTCTGGGTAAATTGCTGGTGTTAATAACAAAATGTCTCAAGTATTCACTCAAGCGTTTCATTCGTTGTGCATCCTTCTGTTAAATATTGGAAATGAAATGATATAAATTAAATGGGGTGAGATACAAATAAGATGTCTCAAGTGAAAGACAAGAGGCACCAACTTTAAAAGGCCACTTTCCTGCTGGGACCAACTTCCCAGCTGCCTCCCTTCTGCCGTCGCTCAGACCTTCCTGGGCTCACTTCCAGGTCCCTGTCAGCTCCCCGTCACCCAGCCCTCAGGGGTGTAGACAGCACCCGAGTGGGGGCCGGCCCGGCGCAGCGGCGGAGGCTCTGAGCACGCCTGTCCAGTCCAGGACGGGCCCTCCCATGCATGGGACTGAGCTTCCCAACAAATGCAGTTAAAATAGAAATGGCAAAAACAAAGGTTTGGTGCCTGCAAGAAGTTCAGCCTCCACATTTTGGGGGCCCTCATAGATTGAGGTGCCCCAGCAGTGCCAGGTGATGTGGCTGGTCACGTCCCAGCCAATAGAGGTGGAAAGTTGGTGCCACTTCTTACACGGAGGGGAGTCCTGGTGTTCTGGAAAGTTCCTGTGACAGACAGGTAGTGACGGAATCACTCAAATGAGGGCAGGTTGATGCTTTGGAATTGGTCTGGGCTCCTGCCCCGCTCCCCAATTCCTCTCTGTTGGCCGCCTGTGGAGGACGCTGACGCCAGCGTGGCCGTGCATGTACCGTCAGTTCAGGGTCATTATAAAAATAAAGTCTAGGTAAAAAATGTAAGTAAAACCTGTTGAGAAGTTGAGAAGGTGGACCCGACTCGGGCGTGGGTGTCGCACGGGGCCGGGACAGTGTCCGTGGCGCCCACAGCGGCTGTGCTGTTTGTCAGAGCAACCTTTGAGAAGCCGCTGTCTGCGGCCCTGGGAGCCGCAGCTGCAGGGAGGTGAGTCCAGCTGAGCAACGTAGTCACTGAGAGAAGAGTTTCCCGTCAACAACAGCCAAGGAAAGCAGGTCCCTCGGTTGTCACAGCGTGGTCCTGGCCGCTCGGCCGCCACCCCAGCCCTGCAGGAGGTCACCAACTGGCTGCATGACCAGAGGTGCCTGGTGTCCGCCTGCGCCCTAAGACTTTCAGCGGCCCCGGGACTGCCTGCTCAGACTCCCTGGCTGCATTTGCCCTTGCTCCCCAGGGAGAGGCCCAGCTCCTGTCTCCCAGCCCTGCTGTTGAGGACTCGCCACCCCCTAGTGACCCTGGTCTCCATCCTTGTTATGTGGTCGTCTGCGAGATGGACAGGCCTCCACTGTCGGCGGTGGACAGTGCTTACCGCAGATGGATGCGTGTTCCAGCGCCACTCACGGCACTGGAATACAGTTCTTCTTCTTCTAGAGGCTGGGGGCCATGCCTGCCGCCTGCGGCCCACAAGTGGACCCAGGCCGTGGGCTCCTCGACTCCCGCGGACCTGTGCTACTTGGTTGTGTCCCTTGCAGCCCGTTTTTGAGTCTTATATACGTGTGCGCGCGTGCGTGTGTGTGTGTGTGTGTGTGTGTGCATATTTCTAAGTGATGCCTCTCTTTATTCAAGGCCAGCACAAGATAAAGTTCATCCCGGAGATGGTGGGCCCGATTCTAGAGATGACGCTGGTTCCGGAGACGGAGCTGCGGAAGGCCACCATCCCCATCTTCTTCGACATGATGCAGTGCGAGTTCCACTCCACCCGCAGCTTCCAGATGGTAGGCACGTGGCGCACGTGGCTTGGGGAGAAGGGGGGCAAGCCGGAAACCCCAAAAGAGACGTGTCAGGGAAGCCGTTGGCCACGGGAGACGGTGCTCCCACCACCTGGGGAGTCCTGGCGCTCTCCTCGCTGGGGAGCCGGGGCGGTTTGCGCGCACTGAGGGGGCTGTGCTCACTCCTGACTTTTCCTCACTTGTCCTCTGCGTTTACTTACGCCGGGCCCCGGGCCTTTCTCTCCCCCGTGGTATGCGCTTGGGAGACGCTTAGTCCCGGCTGCAGTGTTCTCCAAATGGCTGTTTGTGGCTGGGTGATGTTATTTTAAAACCCAAAGTCCTTGCCTTTACCCCCTGAAATGGGGGCCTCAGGCTCCCCAAAGAAAGCCTCCCTGAGGCGCTCACACCCCCTCCCCACCGACCCACCAGAACCAGGAATCACAACTGATGGCCGTCCCCAAGCTGCACACACATCTGGCTCTTTGGATTTTTTCTGAATCAAATCCAAGGAAGGACCTTCTGGGGAAAATATGATTAAATTAAAGAGCCAGGTAAAGCAGAAAAGTGTTTTTATGTGGATCAATGTTACTAACCCAGGACGCTAAGATCGAAATTCCTCACGTGACACCATCCATCATCCCTTGAAGAGTCTTTGGGTCTGAATGGGGTCAAGGGCTTCGGGAGTGGAGACGCAGGTGAGAGGTTTCCCTCTCGGCAGGCGGACACTGAGTCTGGGGTGTCAGTGCGTGCACAGCGGGCACCTGCCCCCCACTCGCTCCCCTGTGGTGCTCCCCAGTCTGTCCACCCTCAGGAGACACCTGTGCAGACTCACTAGCCCGTCTGAGACCACGGGGGTCTTCCCACTGTCCCACTAGCATGAGATGCCCCTTGGTGTGTGTAAGCAAAAGCACAGACGTTAGCCAGGCCCACGAGAGCCCGCTCGGGCCTGGGCGCGGTGCGGCCAGGACACCTTCAGTCACTGTGGCCACGGGCCTTCTGGCCTCCCGCCTGCCCCCCCTGTGCCGACAAGCCAGCCACTGCCTTATAAAATCAAGGCAGAAAAACTAGAACCTACGATACAACCTTGCTGCTCTGTCAGTCGTTCTTGCGAGGGGGGTCAAGAACCCCCCTCTTCTGTGGGGGCATCTCAGCACCCACATGGCCTGGCCTCCCCCGGGTCCTGATCCCCACCTGCCACACTCTCGTCGTGGGGTCTGTAGTGCATCACTGTGTCCTTGGCTTTGCGCGCTTTCATGCCTCGGATGCCAGAGGGTGGTGAAAACAGCCGGGTCCTCCGCTGTCCCAGGTCCAGCGTCCATCGGTTTCTCACCACCCGCAGCCCAGGCCCTCCGGGGCTGCAGTCCTGGGACTTTGCTGTTCTGGCTCAGGAGGCCCCTTTGGCAGCTCTCCCCGAGGCACCCACCCTCTCCCACCCCACACCCAGGGTGATGTGTGTGGAGAACTTCGGGAAATCCTGATTTATTTCAGAGGAGCCGTGCTGTGTGCAGAGATCCCAGGCTGTGCTAAGCCGGCCCCGAGGGCTGGAGGCACAGCATATGGGGCCCACGTCATCCCTGCAGGCCCCCCGAGCCCCGAGATCTGCGGTGAGTCCTCCCCAGCCTGGGAGGACTCGCTGACACGCTGCCCCCAAATGAGTTACACTCCCACAGGACTTTGCTTCATAAAGCAAGTAAACAAATGAAAAACCTTCCCTTTAAATTCTTTCCTGGCACCTTTTGAGAGAATTCCATTTGTTACATCTTTGGAAAATATAGAACAGCTGAGAATTGCAGCAAATGACCACGCGGGTGCAACAGCATTAATAAAAGTGGGATGAAAAGGGTCCAGAACAGAATCATATTTTCCATCTTGGAGCTATTTTCTGTCATCTTTGTGAGGTCAGTAAAATGCTCCACAACTTCCAGAAATTCTCATTTAGAAACAACATTAGAACATGAGTAATCTTCGTGTCTGCGATGTCTCTGAGTTCCTGTTTGAATAATCCCTCTCGACTGCCCAGGACGGGAACCCTAAGCAAATAGTTAAATAACCCAGGTGGATGTTGGCAGCATCTGCCACCGGGAAAGCAGAGTATTTTATACTATACTGTGAGTGGGAACACTCGGGAGGTGACTGTGCCTTCAATTCATTGCCGTTTTGTTTGTGGGTTTGTTTACTTTTTGCTTTCATTTTCGGAGCAGCCCTGACGTTGCTATCTGGGAGAGAGGAACGGGCCATGGGAATTATTAGGCTTCCATTTCCCTGAATCCAGACCCAGAGGGGCTGAGGCTAGGGTGGAGCTGGAGCCCAGTGACCCAGAGGCTCTGATCACCATGAGCTTTACCCTTAGAAGGCCTCCAGGAACAGATGCCCAGACTCCTGTCATCCCCTTCACCACATGGAATGGGGCTCATTCGAGGACGTGGTCTCTGAGTTGTTGTCCCTACGTCGGGCCCCAAGGCCCCCTCAGACTGGGTCATTGGCCATGGGCAGCAGCTGGGCCTGGCCAAGGCGGTGCCGCCTGTGCAGGCTGGAGCTGTCGCTGGCTGACCAGGCCATGCCTCTGGGGCCTCTCACCTCATGACTGTTTCCCCAAAGCTTCCAGGTCAGCGAGCCGCCTGCTTGGTGGACGAGCACGGATGTGGGATCTCAGGCTGTGGGCTGCGGAGTGCCAAAGACTAGTCCCGTGGGTAATTAAGTTTACAGAGCGGTTAAGTAAGAGAAATGCAATACACGTGAAATGCAGGTGTTGAGCAGGGGCTCAGAGGCTGAGATGGATTGGGGGGTCAGGCGCTCATCCATGCTGCCAGGCAAGCAGGGCCAAGGGCATATGGGCCAGGCTGCTCTCTGCCCAGCCCGCCAGCTCCTGCCTGGCCCTGCTTTCTCTACCTCCTCCCCCGCACAGCCCACCTCTCCTGTCCCTGCTGAGGAGAAGGGATGTGGTTGGATGTCCCATCCTCCTGGCCGTCCGAGGTGCAGCCTCTGGGAGTGGGGCCTGGTGCCCTCGGCTGAGTCCACACTCCTGCCTCGTGTCCCACGAGTGTTTCCCTAAAAGCAGGAGAAAGCAGGGCAAGGAGCCAGCTCACTAGGGTTTTCGGTGAGTTGGCGAAACCCTGTGTTAAGACACTTAGCAGCCCATGCCCAGTGCAGGGCTGCCCAGCTCTGGGTGCTCACTGGCACCCCATCATGAGCCAAGTGACTTGTGTAGACCGTCCCAAAGCCTCTGACCTGGTGCCACAGAGGCCAGGCGCTTCCCAGATGCCTGGACAGGGCAGGCCTGGCCGTGCATGGATATACGTGGTGACCTGGATGCAAATCTGATCCTCAGAGAAATGGTGCATCGCGGGCGAAGGGAACATGGAGAGGCTCTGGCTCTTGTTTGCCTCCTACCCGCAGCCTTTCCGGCTACTTCCTGTGGCCTCGCACTGCTCCTGGGTTGTGGGTGACCAGGGCCGGGAGGTGTGGGCCAGGGCAGCACACCTGGGCACCTGGGCCCACAGAGCATGGGGTGGGCACATATGTAAATGCAGGCCCTGGGCCCAGAAGCGCGGGTAACAGGGGCCTTCAGCTCTGGCGCTCACGGGGGCATCACTGAGGCTAGGGGCTCGGTTGCTGTGTCTGGTCCCTGCTTCAGTATTAAAGGCCTGCGAGAGATACCGAAGGCTCCGAAACCTCTTTCCCCTGTGAGAATCGGCAATGAACCAACACAGCTGGCCTGGCTGGCAGCAGGGCACTGGCAAAGGAGTTAGCCACACCCTTCACTCCAGGACTCTTACGTTGGAGCCAGTGATCCATGGTTGACTGGGGCGATGAGAGGCCTATGTCTGGTTCCTTCCTCATTTAACTGAATTAACATCCGTGTCAATACCTCCCAGGTGCACCCCACACCACACCACCCACACACACCCCACATGCACCGCACAGACATACACACCACACAGAACAGCACACCCAGAACACAGCATATGTGGCTTGTGCTTCTTATTTGCAAAGGGCTGTTGGCATCAGATATTTAGAGATGCTCCCTTCGATATCCTGAGTTTGACGCTGGATATTTTTTTTTTTTTTTTTTTTAAAATATTATTAAATTTTATTTTTATATTCCCCCATACAATTGCAAACGCCCCATTCTGACCCCAATCCTTCCCCTCCCGCCCCCACCCCCAAAAAGTGTCTCTGGTTCATAGTTTTTTGTTGATTTTGATTTTCACTTTCTTATATTCATTTTCCTGGTCCTTATTTAAGTTTTCTAGATTTCTGCTATGAGTGAGACCATCCGGTATTTTTCTTTTTCTTTTGCTTATTTCGCTGAGCATGATCCCTTCCAGTGCCATCCATGTTGCTGCAAATTGCATGTGTTTATCTTTTTTGAATGCTGAGTAATATTCCTGGTATATATGTACCACATCTTCTTGATCCAGTCATCTATTTTTTGGGCATTTGGGTTGTTTCCAAAGCTTAGCTATTGTAAACAGTGCTGCTATAAACATAGGAGTGCAGGTGTCTTTGGAATTGATGTTTCTGTGTCTTTGGGTAAATACTAGGAGTGGAATTGCTGGATCATATGGAAGCTCTATGTTTAGTAGGTCCAGAAATCTCCACACAGCTCTCCATAGTGGTTGGACCAGTTTGCACTCCCACCAACAGTGCACAAGAGTTCCTTTTTCTCCACATCTCGCCAACATTTGTTTGTTGCTAGTTTTTTTAATATGTCCATTCTCACTGGTGTGAGATGGTATCTCATGGTAGTTTTGATTTGCATTTCCCTGATTACAAGTGATGTTGAACATTTTTTCATATGTCTGTTTGCCATTTGCATTTCTCTTCAGAGAAGTTCTTTTTAGCTCTTCTGCCATTTTTTTGACTGGATTATTTTCTTTGTTGTTGCTGAGTCTCATCAGCTCTTGGCAGATTTTTGTGATCAGTCTTTATCATTAGTGTTGGGTGCAAAAATGTTCTCCCAGTTGGTGGGGTTTTCTCTTTGTTTTTGTTATTGTCTCTTTTGC